CACGGCATCCCTGACACCTGCCCCCCCCCGCCCCCTCCCCGCGTGGGAGCCCGACGCCGGCCGAGCTGGGACGACACCGCCGTGCCCTCGCCGAGAGCCTCCAGCCCTGCCCGAGCGCTCAGGCTGAATTTCGCGACGACCTTGGCCAGTGTCCTCCCCTCCCGAGGCCGCAGTTTTGCTTTTTTAAAAACTCATTAAATAAAACTTTTAGCACTGGTGGTTCCCTGCACCCGGCTTAGCGACGGGCTCTGGTGATGGTGGCAGAGAAGGGGTCCCCGGAGCAGAGCTCAGCGCTGGCAAACCCCCTCCTCATCTCCCCCCACTTTCCCATCCTCCCTCCTCCACACAAGTGATGAAGAAGAGGAATCCACCGATCCCAGGCTCCGTCTCCGTAATAAAAGGATTATTCAGGCAAGAGGAGCAGGAAAGCCCAAAGCCGGCAGGAAAACCCCCTTCTTCTTCTTAAAAGTTATTAAAACTGAACAATATTTCTAATTTGAATTTTTCAGAAGCACGGGATGAACCCGCGGTCAGACAAGACAGGCGGATGGCGGGATCACCCAGGAAGGCGGAGGGGGAGACGGGGCCGTTGCTCCTGGCCACCATGACGCTGATGCCCGTCTCCACGAAGGGCACGGAGAAGTCCACGATCTCGGAGCGCTCCTCGTTGATGGTGAGGGAGCCGATGGCCATGTCCGCGCGCTTGTAGTACACCTGGGGAAGGGGCAGATGGTCTTGGGACGGGCAGGTGGACAGGCAGAGGGACCCAGACCACCTTCCCCTGGCATTTCCTCATCTCCAGAATTTCCAGCCTTAACTTTTGTCTGGTTTTTTTTTTTAATATTCATTTCTTAAATGACCAATGCCACAAACACAACCAGCTGTGGGGTCACAAATGTTCAGCTGGCTCCCCTGCTCGTTCTCCCCCACCAAGCCTTGTCCCATAAGCTCATGCCAAGCTGGCCCCTGCCTGGAATCCCACCACAAACACCCTGAACCCATCTCCAGCAGGAAAGCCCCAGGCCAGGGCATGCTCTGAGCAGGCAGTGCCCCTCAGGGAGGGCCAAAGGTGAGGTCCGAGCCATGCCCACCCCTACCTCACCAATCATGCCGTTCCAGACCCCGCGGACAATCTTGCCGTGTTTGCCGTTGGTCACCAGGTAGAGGTCGTACGAGAACTTCACCACCTTGGCCAGCTTCTTCAGGATGTCGATGCAGAAGCCCTTGCAGCACAGCTTGGTGTAGGGATCCACGAGACCATTGCCACTGAAACCACACCAGGAAAAAAGGAGTGGACCAACCAAAGATACTCTGAGCTACCCCAGTGCCTCCAGGACACCATGAGCCCAGGGACTGGTGGCCAAAATTGCTGAGCTCCATCCTCGCTGCTCACCTATGGGAGGAGAGGGTTTGCTTGCGGCAGGGCACGGTGTTACGCACGCAGACCCCGGTGCTGGGGTCCGTGTTCTCCACGATGACGAAAGGGCTCTCCCCCAGCGTGGCCCCCGTCAGGTGGCGGTTATCGACCACGGGCTGCAGGAACGAGCCGTAGCGGGGCCACACCGGGTACTTCATGTGGATGATGCCTTTCTCCCACTTGCCCACCTGCCCCCAAGGGAGAGCACACTGTCACACCGGCGAGGGGCTCTGCGGGTCACACGGAGTCCCGTGTTCATCCTCCCCATGTCTTTGGGGATGGTTTCTCCTGGAGCGTTGTTAGGCTGGAGCTCAGTCGTGGTGAGCCCCATCTCAGCATCCCCTTCCCCATGCACCCACTGACAGTGGGGCAAGGTGTTTCCACCAGGACTCCAAGCACTGCGCTTGGGTGAGCACAAACCTGGCCAAACTTCATCCAAAACACTTTTAAACTGGAAATAAAACACCTCTGCACAGCTCGTTTCAGGTCTGGGCATTTGGCTGCTGTTCCCCAGAGGTGGGCAGCTGCACTTTTGACTCTTTTGGAACTTTTGGAACTTTTCAGCCAAATTGCAGGTGAAAAAAACAGTCCTTGGCAGAGCTTTGGTGCCCACCATTGCCATGAAGCCCCCACCATGGGTACCTTTGCTACCAGCCATGGGTTTTGCATGGGACAACCTGCCCCAAGGTGGGACCCCAGCCCGTGCACGGCCCCAGGCTCACCCCACCCAGCCACCCCCATCAGTGTGCTGATCCCGGTGTCCTACCATCTCCCAGAGCCGGTGCTGGTTGAGGGAGATCACCACCATGGTGGGCCTGACCAGGTAGCCACCTTCATTGAAGGAGAAGTCCCTGTGCTCCCACGTCACATTGAGGAGGTGCCTGGTGGGACACAAAGCCCGTGAGCCCCTGGCCATGCAGCCCGACCCCACACAGCCTTTCTTCTCCTCCTCCTCCTCCAGCTCCAGCCAGGCTGCCACAGGTCCCACAGAGAGACATGCAGCTGAGAACTGGTTTACCCCTGTGCAAGGTGCAGTGGGGAGCTGGAGAACACCCTGCCAGCAAGGAGGCCCTGAGGATGGACCACTGCAGGGACGGGGGACGCACAGACTGCCACAGCAGCCCCATGGTGCCACATCCACTCTGCAAAGCACAGCTGTGACCCCCCCCCCCCCCCCCACCCCCCCCCCCAAAGTTTGGAGAAAGGCAAGGGCTGCTCTGGGTAGATGCTCCATGAGAAACCCAGCTGAGAGGCATGGACTACCAGCTGCAGCCCACAGTGAGCATCGTCCCCTTGCCCACCAGCTCCATCCTCCTCCTCCCCTGCCCCGTCTCTCTCCGCTCCCCCGTTTCCCATCCATCCCAGCAGGTCCCTGGCCCTCACCGGTAGAAGCTGGTGTTGGTGACAGTGGCCCCAGCGGGAGCCCAGCAGTCCCGTCCCACCTCCGGGAGGTAGCCGTGGGCCCGGAAGAAGCTGGCTGCCCCCATGGCGATGATGGCCACCCCATCTCGCACCTTGTGCCGCAGGCTCAGCTTCCAGCTCTCCGTCACCACGCTGATCAGGCCGACAGGGAACGACGCAGGTGGCACCTCCATGTTGCCCACTGTCAGGCTTGGCACAATCCAGATGTAGCCTGGCCCCACGAGGCCGGCTTGTTCCGCCATGTCGAAGAGGTACTCGGCCTCATCACGCGAGCAGTAGACGATGAGGACCTGGGCATCAATCTGCCGCAGGAGCCGCTGCGTCCTGGAGCTACTCCGCTCCTGGCTCATCTCAAAGGTGAGCACCTCCTGCAGCTCCCAGCCGAAGTAGCTGGCGTCCGTGAAGGAGCGGATGACGTCCAGGAAGATGTTGTAGCCCGGGTAGAGGCTGGTGATGACAGCAAAGGAGCCCCAGTCATATTCCTCCAGCACCTTGAAGATCACCTGGATTTGCTGCTCAATGGAGACACCCAACTGCAGAAAAGCTGAGTCGGGCTCCTGCGGGAGGAGAAGGGGTCAAGGGCTGCTTCGGCACCATGGTCCGGGTCTCCTCTGCAAGCCACCTTGCATTCACCACCACAAGGGTTCAAGGGAGCCATGAACTGGTGTGGCCCATGGGCTGGAGACACCCAGAATGGGACTGATCAACTGGTGGTCTCCAAGGAACCTCATTCCCTGCAAAAGGTCAGGCCCTGCAGCCTCTCCTCCACTTCCCAGCTTGTTGACCAAAATTTCATCCAGTGCTTTCCAAAGGAGACCAACAATTTCTCCTTAAACCAGGAGAGGGAGAGGTGCAAGGGCTCTGCCGGGCGCGTAACTCCCACCCCAGCTCCAACTCACTGCCTGCTGCCAGAGCCCACACAGGTCCTTCCCTCCCACACCACCTCCCCAGCCATCTGGCCTCTCATTAGCAAACCTTAATTGATCTGATTCTGTCTTAAATGAGTCAGCACATGGCACTTGCAGAAGGTCGCGCGCAGGCAGCAGTGTTTTGCCACTCAGACCCCCTCCTACCAGAGAAGCTGTTTTTCCCGTGGGCCAATGGTCTGGCCAGAGGAGCGAGACCCAGGGAGTCCCAGCTAAGGAATGGGGGCTGCTGGGGACCTCTGACCCATGGGACGAGGAGGAGGAGAAGCCTTCACACGAGTCCCTCCAGCACCCCCGAAATACCCAACCCCTGGAGAAAGCTGCAGAAAATCACCTGGACCACAGCAAAGCCATGACTGATTTTTAGCTGCTTGGAGCTCCACCTGAACCCTCTGCCCCCACCCGAGCCCACAGCACCCACTGCCACCCACTCACAGCGGGCAGCAGCTTGGGCTGGTCCAGGAGCACCGGTCAGTGCGGGCAGGGCTGCCAAGGTGCCATCCAGGAGGTTTAGACCCCAAAACCTCTGAGCAGCCAGAAGATGAAAGCAGAGCCCCAGGGAGCAGCAGGGTCTGCACCCCAGGGAAGGAGCCAGGGCCAGGACCCTCCGGTGCCCAGGCTGGGCAGGGAGACAGGAGCAGCCCGGAGGGGATAACCCAAACAACCT